GAAGGAGAGAACAGAATTGTGATTACTAGAGGCAGGAGAAGGGAAAGGGGAAAGCGAGAAATTAATAGACAAAAAAATAGCTAGTTAGGAAAAATAAGTCCTATCAATTTACAGTTGAGCTAAGCAGCTATAACTAACACTGCATGTTATCAAATGGCTAGATCAATTGTCCTTAACACAATGAAATGATTACGTTTCATAATGATGAATATGCTAATTATCCTGATTGGATCATCACACATTGTACACAAGTACTGATATTCAACTGTATATCCTACAAATATGTATAATCAATTATGCTTCAATTAAAACAAACAAACAAACAAAAAACTTGCCTTTTGAAGGCAGCATTCCACAGCCAGCTTTGAATAGAAACCTAAATGGGGGGGTGGGGGGCGCATGGCTCACTCAGGAGAGTGTGGTGCTGATAACACCAAGGCCATGGGTTCGGACCCCTATACAGGGATGGCCGGTTAGCTCAATGGGTGAGCATGGTGCTGACAACCCCAAGTCACGGGTTAAGATCCCCTTAAAAAAAAAAAAAAAAAAACTAAACAGGGGATTACGTGACTCAGGCTGCCCCTCTATGTCCCTTTTATCAAACTCCTAATGATTTGGTCTGTTTATTTTCCCTTCTGATCCAGAAGCTCCATGAAGGCAGGAACTGGACTTGTTCGGTTTACCACTGTAGGACCAGAACCTGGAACGATATTTGGCACTCAGTGGGCGCTCAGTGAAGATCTTCTTCTGCACGGCTCCGGGCTGGGAACTGGGCAAGTGATGAAGAAAGAAGGGAAACACATTAAATCTACTGTGTCTCACAAGAGAGTAGGATGGAAATTAGAGACAGAATCATAAAGAGGCCCCCACTGACATCAAAGGCTCAGGTTGTAGCACAGGTCCCACCCTGGCTGGACACCGTCATTCAGAGAGTCAAGTTAAAGCCCTTGGCTGAGTGCTCCAGAAGCTGAATACCATGAACACATTTGTGATGCCTCCATCTCCCCACTTCCATACACCTTTGATGCCAGCTGACATTTTCTTTAATCACATCAGAAAAATAAATGATGTCACCATGGCAGACATCTCAAAATAGCAAAAAAGCAAGTCTGTTCCAAAATGGGCCACATTCAGTATTACATAAGCCTTGATGCTTTGGGCAAAAATCACATTTTCAGAAGTCTGGCTGGGACACAGTGAACTAATGGAAAAAGCACTCGGCACAGAGACAGGGAAATTGGATTCCAGTTGCAGCTTTGCTACTGTATCTTTGTCCTTGAGCAAATCATTCCACTGCCCTGGGCCTCACTTTCTGCATCTGTAAAAGGAGAATGTTTTCCTGAAGGAGACAGAGGTACCTCCTAGTTCTAAAATCAAAGATCACACTGTCCACTCAGGGACAATCTCTGACAGCCCTCCCGGTTGCCTCTTCAATGTCACTCTCCTCCAGCCACCACCACAAATCTTGACATTCCTCCTCATTCCCCCAGTGTGGCCTCTCCACATAGAAAAATCTGTTCTCTAATGTGTTATCAGCTTGAAACTGTGGCTTGTGTTTAAGCACTTATTAAAACGACCCTGGGTTTGGACGGGGCATGCTCATGGGTGTGCTTTACTCTTCCTAGGTCTCTATCTAGCTCATCACAGGTACTCACTTAGGACTTTCTAACCTTCCTGCACAAGAGTATATAAGTAAATTTGAGATCACTGTTATTACACTCAAATTCTCCAAACCCCAGGAGACCAACTGAGCCAGCAATTCAGCTACTAAGTCCATCCTCTCTTGTTAAGGGATACCTTACTGTAAGGTTGCCAGGATTGATTTACCTGATTAGGGGCAGTACTACCAAACCGCTCTGAATACTCTTCAATAAGTAAATACCTATTTCAGTAGGACTTTTAAAGTTATACTGACTTTGTGAAGACAATGAACAACTTCTTTCTTGGATTTGCACTCCAAAACACACACATACCTCTCTATCGAGGTACGATGAGACTCATCAGTACAAAATATTGCCAATTCAAACAACCTCCTCTGTTACAGAGTATATGCAAGCATATGACTTCTATAAACCAAGTTAATTCAACCTAGATAGCCAGAAGCAGCCCTGGAGTCTTATATTTCAGCTTGAAAGAAAGGATTTTTATAGTTGAGAGAAAAACTACTAAGCCAGAAAGCCTTATGTGAATATTAGATGTCTGCACTTTTTTAAACCAAATCTACCATCTGTGTTTCAAAGGGTCCCAAGTTTAAGTCAATTTTTAATGGGATGGTAACAACCTACTTTCTATCACATACGGGCCTCAAGAGCTCATATGGAGGTATCTGGCAGGGGACCACAGCTCCTGGTATGTTCCATGGCCAAATAGGGTCTTCCCTTATCAGAAAGGCCACTTCTTTGGTGGAAGGCATAGCTCTCTGAGGGAGCAGAGAGGAGAGAAGGGGTATGGTCCAGCCAGGCAGATCCAGTCACATCACCCCAGTATCAACAGGGGCAGCAGATGGGCAGCTGGCTCTGCATCCCCATTCAGATGGTGGAGTGGGGGCTGGGGGACCAGACACTATACATAGACATGGAGGGTGCTGTCCATAGTCGCGCTCTCAGACCAAGAGCTGCAGTGTCCTTCCTGGAAACAAGACTCTTTAGTCCTATACTTTATGTACAAAAAGAGTGATTATTTGAGGCTTGAATACAGAAACTAATGGGAAGGACCCAAATGAAGGCTTAAAAAATGAAGACTTTATGCTTAAAAGTTTAAGGCAATTTCTCTGTATTTTTATTCAAAGTGGTTTTTTTGAATATCATGGCTGTTTTGTTAGTCCAAAAATGGTACACTTAAAAATCAACTTGTAGTTGATCCTCAAGTATACTCACAAAAACGTGAACAAAGGTATATAAGGATATTAACTGAGGCACTATGTGTAATATTAGGAAAGTCAAACTATGTATTCATCAATAGCAAACTAGTAAAATCAACCATCATACATCCAAGCCATGAAATACCATGCAACAATCAAAAGGAATGGCATAATTCTGTATTAAGTGCACAAAAGATGCCTGAGACTAATTGCGTTAAATCAAAAACAACTCCACACCCAGGCAGCAGGTAGTATGTATCATGATTCCATTTGGAAAAACATAGAAACTCTGTGTGCATACATTTCACATGATTGTGTGCACAAAGGAAAGGTCTGGAAAGACATTTACTGAATTTAACAGTGTCTGTCTCTGGAGGATGGGGTGGGGTATGTGTGGAGAAGAGGGGGAATTTTTAGTACATACAATTCTATCCTGTTAAACTTTTTTTTTCCTACTAGTATGTATTAGTTTTTCAATTGATGCCCATGTGACGCCTTGGATTAACCAAAACACATTAGCATAATTCATCCATGCATGGCCCACCTCCATATAATTAATTAACTAGCTATTTTTAATAATAAAGCACCCTACAACCTATCACCCCAAATAAAAGCTAGATCCTTAATAATAATTTACATCCAACTATAAGACCCCCACTTCCATTGTCTTGTCCTCTCACACTCCAGGCAACCACTACTCCAAATCCCTCATTATTACTTGGGTAATTAATAAATAAAATACGACAAATAAATAAATGCAAAAAATTGATTTGGTTGCCTTTTAAACTCACTGCTCTTGAGTCAAACACAATGTTGCAAATTTAATTCTATGCTTTTCTCTGCACATACAGCAACCCCATCTGCCATTTTTCCTGCAGTGCAGTGTAGGTCACCCTGGTGGCTGTTAACTAGCCAAGACACTAACTTCCCACCAAGAAACACCAGAAGCCAAAAGAGAAACATTTTTCGTTTTAGAGAGATCATTTTTCTAGGAGCAAAGTAAATCAGTAGCTGATTTAAATCCATCCTAACTATGTAATTTAAAAATGTCTAGTCTCAACAGAAAATATATACAGACTTCCCCTAAAGGTGGAGATGGTAAGCAAATAATGATCTCTTTAATGCCCAGGGTTTCTCAAGAAGTTTTAATTATTACACTTTAAGAGACAATAGAAGATTTCCAGAGGGCAAAGAAACAATGAAATTAAATCAATCTCTATAGAATAACTCAAACTATTTGGAAACCTACCTTCTAGCATGTTTTAGTCTATCAATTTTTATGTCCCTTGGTTCCATGGACTCTGAACATCCATTTAAAATGAGATCCAACATTCCGCATTTGGGAAATACACTGAATTGTTATGTAGATTTTTTCTGGTTTGGGTTAAATCCATATTTATTGATAAGAAAATGCTTCCCCAAGTATGATGACTTTTCAAGTAACAGCTTCTATGATCACCTATAACTTGTGAAAACCAGTGTCAAGTCTTTGCAAGTGAGCAAGACTTATTCTAACATAACACATCATTTGACTAAAAGAAAATCCTCACACTTAAATCAGAGAAGTACAGCAAAATCAGAAAAGTCTTTCCTCTGGGTTTCCTAATGCCTGCTTCTTCCGAATATAACTTACCATTAAATGGGTTCTCAGCTATAAACATTTAATTAACATGGGTGTATAATCCAAAATGGCAAATAAGCCAAAATTATTTGTATTTGGAGCACATTTTTCTGCTAAATAGGACAGCATCTCACATTCTTGACTTTATTACGTGGAGGCTGTCTGAAAGGAATGGCTCGCCCATCAGGCCCTCTCTGCCTTCCCTTTCAACTCGCCCTTGTGCACCACTCAGGGCTGGCAGTGGATCCCACGTGGGTAGGCTGTGCTACTCCCCTCTAAAAACATTATATGTGATTTACAGCTTCCAAGGTGAGAAGGAATGAGATATTTTGACTTTAATGCTGCTGGTTGCAGAAGGTAATAATATCAAAGCCTCATGCCTCCTGATTCGACTACATCAGTGAGAAATGCAGCCACAGCACTTGCAAATAATAAAAACCAAATCTTGCTTCACATTTGCTTTTACTTTGGGGGAGGAGGGAAAAAGCCCCTGGGGTCATCCTGCTCCGCACCACTTACTCCTCTTTCCTAAGAAGCTCCTCCTCTGACTCTGTCAGGCGCTGCCTCAGCGCAGCTATCATTTCCACGGCCACGTCCACCTGTCGATTCAGGGCCCGCTCTCGTCTCTGAACTTCTTGCTTTTTCTGAGTCAGCTGCACAAAAGCTGCCCGGACTTCCAACAGTTCGGCAGTTTTCTGGGCCAACTCTTTGGTGAGTTTATCAATTCTCTTCTCGATGGTTCTATCCACAGCCTCGACCATCCGATTGAATTTTTCTCTGATATGTGCTTCAAAAGCAGCTTTGGTGTCTGAGGTGGGAAGTCCGGGACTTGCCCGTGGCCCATCCAGTGAGTCTGCACGTAGGTCCATTGCAGTGTAGGTCTGCATGTAGGACACAGGCCTCTCTGCCACCACCTCAAATGGCTTCCTGTCCTTGGAGTGTTCATGTGAGATGCTGTACAAGTTAACATAGCTCGGTTTCTGCTTTACCACGTTGCCACTGCTCTGCAATTTTCCCTGTTTCAGGAGTTCTGAGGAAGTGACAAGGTCTGTGTCTTTGAGAGCTGGAAAGAGGCTGCATTTTGTCAAGAGGGTTCTTTCTTCGTAGCTGTGACTGAATTCCAGATGGGCCCTCAAGGATGACAAGCTTCTAAATCTGGTATGGTCTCCACACCTCGGGCAGCAGAATGGCAGGCACACAGCAACATTCTCAAAGGATTCCTGCCAGGGATATCTGCTTTCCTCAAAAGCCTTCTGTTGCATTACTCTAAAAGTCCTGGGTGGCAGGAAAAAAAACAAAAACAAAAAGAGGTAGTTTACATGTCCGTTGAAAAAAATGCTACTGAAATAATTGCTACTCACCTCCATGAGGGCAGAGGCTTTTTTGTTTTAAGTGACTTCTGCATATAATAATTTATATTGCAATTAAAACCTACAGCCCATGGGCCAACTCCAGCGACATCCATTTCTGTATTGTCTACTGCTGCTTTGCACAATGAATGAGCAGTTGAGAAAGAGATTCTATGGCCTGAAAAGCCAAAAATATTTACTACCTTAGAAAAAGTTTGCCAACCCCTGCCTAGAATAAAAAAGGTGGGTAACGTTCCCTCTTCACAGATGAGAAAATTAAGGCAAGGAAGTACAGCAGTTAATCCAAGTCAGATGGAAAGTGGCAGATCCAGAAGTGGAATTCAAGTTTCTTGCCCTCCTCAATTTAGTACACTGAATGCAAAACCATGCCCTATTTTACTAATACAATCCTGATAAGCAAGAATACCAAAAAAAAAAAAAAAAAAAAAAAAAAAAAAAAAAAAAAAAAANCCAAATCTACCATCTGCGTTTCAAAGGGTCCCAAGTTTAAGTTAATTTTTAATGGGATGGTAACAACCTACTTTCTATCACATACGGGCCTCGAGAGCTCATATGGAGGTATCTGGCAGGGGACCACAGCTCCTGGTATGTTCCATGGCCAAATAGGGTCTTCCCTTATCAGAAAGGCCACTTCTTTGGTGGAAGGCATAGCTCTCTGAGGGAGCAGAGAGGAGAGAAGGGGTATGGTCCAGCCAGGCAGATCCAGTCACATCACCCCAGTATCAACAGGGGCAGCAGATGGGCAGCTGGCTCTGCATCCCCATTCAGATGGCGGAGTGGGGGCTGGGGGACCAGACACTATACATAGACATGGAGGGTGCTGTCCATAGTCGCGCTCTCAGACCAAGAGCTGCAGTGTCCTTCCTGGAAACAAGACTCTTTAGTCCTATACTTTATGTACAAAAAGAGTGATTATTTGAGGCTTGAATACAGAAACTAATGGGAAGGACCCAAATGAAGGCTTAAAAAATGAAGACTTTATGCTTAAAAGTTTAAGGCAATTTCTCTGTATTTTTATTCAAAGTGGTTTTTTTGAATATCATGGCTGTTTTGTTAGTCCAAAAATGGTACACTTAAAAATCAACTTGTAGTTGATCCTCAAGTATACTCACAAAAACGTGAACAAAGGTATATAAGGATATTAACTGAGGCACTATGTGTAATATTAGGAAAGTCAAACTATGTATTCATCAATAGCAAACTAGTAAAATCAACCATCATACATCCAAGCCATGAAATACCATGCAACAATCAAAAGGAATGGCATAATTCTGTATTAAGTGCACAAAAGATGCCTGAGACTAATTGCGTTAAATCAAAAACAACTCCACACCCAGGCAGCAGGTAGTATGTATCATGATTCCATTTGGAAAAACATAGAAACTCTGTGTGCATACATTTCACATGATTGTGTGCACAAAGGAAAGGTCTGGAAAGACATTTACTGAATTTAACAGTGTCTGTCTCTGGAGGATGGGGTGGGGTATGTGTGGAGAAGAGGGGGAATTTTTAGTACATACAATTCTATCCTGTTAAACTTTTTTTTTCCTACTAGTATGTATTAGTTTTTCAATTGATGCCCAGGGTATGTGTGGAGAAGAGGGGGAATTTTTAGTACATACAATTCTATCCTGTTAAACTTTTTTTTTCCTACTAGTATGTATTTTTCAATTGATGCCCGTGTGACGCCTTGGATTAACCAAAACACATTAGCATAATTCATCCATGCATGGCCCACCTCCATATAATTAATTAACTAGCTATTTTTAATAATAAAGCACCCTACAACCTATCACCCCAAATAAAAGCTAGATCCTTAATAATAATTTACATCCAACTATAAGACCCCCACTTCCATTGTCTTGTCCTCTCACACTCCAGGCAACCACTACTCCAAATCCCTCATTATTACTTGGGTAATTAATAAATAAAATACGACAAATAAATAAATGCAAAAAATTGATTTGGTTGCCTTTTAAACTCACTGCTCTTGAGTCAAACACAATGTTGCAAATTTAATTCTATGCTTTTCTCTGCACATACAGCAACCCCATCTGCCATTTTTCCTGCAGTGCAGTGTAGGTCACCCTGGTGGCTGTTAACTAGCCAAGACACTAACTTCCCACCAAGAAACACCAGAAGCCAAAAGAGAAACATTTTTCGTTTTAGAGAGATCATTTTTCTAGGAGCAAAGTAAATCAGTAGCTGATTTAAATCCATCCTAACTATGTAATTTAAAAATGTCTAGTCTCAACAGAAAATATATACAGACTTCCCCTAAAGGTGGAGATGGTAAGCAAATAATGATCTCTTTAATGCCCAGGGTTTCTCAAGAAGTTTTAATTATTACACTTTAAGAGACAATAGAAGATTTCCAGAGGGCAAAGAAACAATGAAATTAAATCAATCTCTATAGAATAACTCAAACTATTTGGAAACCTACCTTCTAGCATGTTTTAGTCTATCAATTTTTATGTCCCTTGGTTCCATGGACTCTGAACATCCATTTAAAATGAGATCCAACATTCCGCATTTGGGAAATACACTGAATTGTTATGTAGATTTTTTCTGGTTTGGGTTAAATCCATATTTATTGATAAGAAAATGCTTCCCCAAGTATGATGACTTTTCAAGTAACAGCTTCTATGATCACCTATAACTTGTGAAAACCAGTGTCAAGTCTTTGCAAGTGAGCAAGACTTATTCTAACATAACACATCATTTGACTAAAAGAAAATCCTCACACTTAAATCAGAGAAGTACAGCAAAATCAGAAAAGTCTTTCCTCTGGGTTTCCTAATGCCTGCTTCTTCCGAATATAACTTACCATTAAATGGGTTCTCAGCTATAAACATTTAATTAACATGGGTGTATAATCCAAAATGGCAAATAAGCCAAAATTATTTGTATTTGGAGCACATTTTTCTGCTAAATAGGACAGCATCTCACATTCTTGACTTTATTACGTGGAGGCTGTCTGAAAGGAATGGCTCGCCCATCAGGCCCTCTCTGCCTTCCCTTTCAACTCGCCCTTGTGCACCACTCAGGGCTGGCAGTGGATCCCACGTGGGTAGGCTGTGCTACTCCCCTCTAAAAACATTATATGTGATTTACAGCTTCCAAGGTGAGAAGGAATGAGATATTTTGACTTTAATGCTGCTGGTTGCAGAAGGTAATAGTATCAAAGCCTCATGCCTCCTGATTCGACTACATCAGTGAGAAATGCAGCCACAGCATCTTCCAAGGTGAGAAGGAATGAGATATTTTGACTTTAATGCTGCTGGTTGCAGAAGGTAATAATATCAAAGCCTCATGCCTCCTGATTCGACTACATCAGTGAGAAATGCAGCCACAGCACTTGCAAATAATAAAAACCAAATCTTGCTTCACATTTGCTTTTACTTTGGGGGAGGAGGGAAAAAGCCCCTGGGGTCATCCTGCTCCGCACCACTTACTCCTCTTTCCTAAGAAGCTCCTCCTCTGACTCTGTCAGGCGCTGCCTCAGCGCAGCTATCATTTCCACGGCCACGTCCACCTGTCGATTCAGGGCCCGCTCTCGTCTCTGAACTTCTTGCTTTTTCTGAGTCAGCTGCACAAAAGCTGCCCGGACTTCCAACAGTTCGGCAGTTTTCTGGGCCAACTCTTTGGTGAGTTTATCAATTCTCTTCTCGATGGTTCTATCCACAGCCTCGACCATCCGATTGAATTTTTCTCTGATATGTGCTTCAAAAGCAGCTTTGGTGTCTGAGGTGGGAAGTCCGGGACTTGCCCGTGGCCCATCCAGTGAGTCTGCACGTAGGTCCATTGCAGTGTAGGTCTGCATGTAGGACACAGGCCTCTCTGCCACCACCTCAAATGGCTTCCTGTCCTTGGAGTGTTCATGTGAGATGCTGTACAAGTTAACATAGCTCGGTTTCTGCTTTACCACGTTGCCACTGCTCTGCAATTTTCCCTGTTTCAGGAGTTCTGAGGAAGTGACAAGGTCTGTGTCTTTGAGAGCTGGAAAGAGGCTGCATTTTGTCAAGAGGGTTCTTTCTTCGTAGCTGTGACTGAATTCCAGATGGGCCCTCAAGGATGACAAGCTTCTAAATCTGGTATGGTCTCCACACCTCGGGCAGCAGAATGGCAGGCACACAGCAACATTCTCAAAGGATTCCTGCCAGGGATATCTGCTTTCCTCAAAAGCCTTCTGTTGCATTACTCTAAAAGTCCTGGGTGGCAGGAAAAAAAACAAAAACAAAAAGAGGTAGTTTACATGTCCGTTGAAAAAAATGCTACTGAAATAATTGCTACTCACCTCCATGAGGGCAGAGGCTTTTTTGTTTTAAGTGACTTCTGCATATAATAATTTATATTGCAATTAAAACCTACAGCCCATGGGCCAACTCCAGCGACATCCATTTCTGTATTGTCTACTGCTGCTTTGCACAATGAATGAGCAGTTGAGAAAGAGATTCTATGGCCTGAAAAGCCAAAAATATTTACTACCTTAGAAAAAGTTTGCCAACCCCTGCCTAGAATAAAAAAGGTGGGTAACGTTCCCTCTTCACAGATGAGAAAATTAAGGCAAGGAAGTACAGCAGTTAATCCAAGTCAGATGGAAAGTGGCAGATCCAGAAGTGGAATTCAAGTTTCTTGCCCTCCTCAATTTAGTACACTGAATGCAAAACCATGCCCTATTTTACTAATACAATCCTGATAAGCAAGAATACCAAAAAAAAAAAAAAAAAAAAAAAAAGAAGAAGAAGAAGAAGAAAACTCACATAAATTGTCGAAATAGATTCTAAGAGAGCAAGCTCAGCAATCTTTCCAAAAATATACAAGAGATTACAAGCTAGGCACGGGGGCAAAAAGCAATCAGCTGAAAAACTGTCAACCTTAGATTTTCGCCATTAATTTTTTTCCTTTAATTACTGCTGTGATGACATGGATCAAAGTGTTATCATAACATGATCCCCATGCTCCAGTTTTATTGCAATTTGGGGACCCAATATGTCAAGTATCTTTTGAGGTAAGTGCGGCCACGGCCAAAGTTTTTTTATAATAGAGTGTTCTGGATGGATTTGTCTTGTCTCCGGTCCTGTTTTAACATGGCAACCTCTAGAGATAGCCAATGCCTGAACCAGGTAAGTATCAGCATAACTCTTTTAATAACAGGAAGTTCTTTCTTTGTAGGAATCTATCATCATCGCCCTAGCAACAGATAACTGCTGGCAACCCAATTCTGTAAGCAGTGCATAACGATTCCCTCCAGGAACGGTTTCTACTTCAATGGAACAAGCATTGGGCCCCCAAATGAGGGAGCTCAGCTGGGGTTTTAGAGTGAAAAGTATCCTCACTTTATTATTGTTATTATTATTGGGTCCTCAGCCTCTTCAAAAGCAGAGGTGCAAACGGTCCCCAGCCAGCTAGCTAGGAGGGCAAAGCGTCCAGGTTAATAAGCCTCTGGCCCCCAGAGACGGGAACCTCTGCCCATGCTACAGCGGGATGTTCAGCCGCTGGTTTTACGGGGATGAGATGCAAACCTTGGCCCAGCGCAGGGCCGAAGATGCTGGCAAGAGGTGAAGAAAGGGGACTTCGGGATTCTAGGGAGGCAAGAGAAAGGGGTGGCATCCCCAGCCGGGAAATGGGTAAGCACGAGCTCGCACGGGCCCAGCGGAAGCCCCAGTGCACCGGCTAAGCGGAAAAGCCCTACTTTACTCTGCCAGAGCAGGGCAGGCTGGCAATGACCCTGCTCGGGGGTCCCAGCTGTACCCGCTCCCGCTCCGCTCGTGCCAGCCCGCGGGTGCCGGCGTGGATTCGTGCGCACACGAGTTCCTGCAGGAGGGGGGCCGAGAAGCCAGTTGTCCCAACTCCCCGCCGTGCCGCGGCCACCGGGACGCCCTCCCCAGTCCCGGCCGGCCCCCTCCGCCACTGCCCCCGGGC